TATATATATATATATATATATATATATATATATATATATATATATATATAAATGTCAAGTGCATTAACATCTAAGGTCACTTGCGCGTATGCAAATCAGAGCGATAGGGTTAGGGCTTGGGGGCAAAGTCCCCAGGTAAAGTTCACAGATCTGTGCGACATTTTTCTAATTTGAGTTTCTACTCCGGTCCAGGCAGGCGAGCCAAGTACACACCTGAGGGAGTGACAGCAGATCCCAGATGACAGCAGTTTGGGCCCAGGCAGGCGATCCAAGTACGCACCTGAGAGGGGCAGACTGGAGAGGAGCAGAAGTAGGTGATGAGGCTGAGATGATAAGGAAGAACACGTGTAATATTATGATAATAATAACAATGTGTATAAATCCCACAGGGTTAAGGTTAGGTTTAGGACGCATTGTACGATCACTACAGGGGATCTGGATTGGGTGAAATCCCGTATATATTTTTTACTGAATGGCGGGTTAGAATTTTTTAGTTTTTTTAGTTAGTTTTTGAAAATGGGGTGCGTTGGTCCCTAGACTTTCAGAGATGGCATGGGCACCTGTAGAGCTTCATTAGCCAAGCTTAAGCATTTTTTGTGCTTGTTTTACACATTTCTCTTTTCTTCCTATTTCAGCCTGATTTACCCCATATTTCCCTGATCTACCTCATGCCCTCCCCTGCTATTGGGACTTATCAAATCACGTCCAGATTGTCGCAGGAGATGCACATCGCACAGGAACAAATCTGACATAAACATCGTGGGGAAGACCTCATTGTCTTGGTCAGAAAATTAACCCAATGTTACAAAACCTACAAGCAAAATTAGAGTACAAATTGAACAACACAATAACTGCAATGAGCAAAATTCAGTCATAAAACAAATGGAAATTAATTTCAATGTCGTTCCTGCCAACAAAATTTTCCAAGACCCACCTCAAGGTCTATCTTACCCCCCCCCCCCTCCCGTATCCCCGACGACTTTTAGGCCTACATGGCAGCTTCAGTATGTTTGTGGCCTACTTCTAGACCTGATTGTGCCCCACCCCTCCCCACCCCCGCCTGCCCCTGCCCCTGCCCCTGCCCCTGCCCCTGCACCTGCGGCCGAGGGAACTGAGCTCGTGGCTTCAGACCGCCCTGCTGGCTGCGAATCACTCCCCAGTTTTATCCTACATTATTTTTTAGCATTTCAAAGGCAAAAGCTTCATAAAACTTTTCATTTCAGGGACAAATAATACCTTATTTCGTTTACGGTAGTCTAGCTACAATTACCATTAAGATATCTTTAAAAATTCAATAAACGAACATCAGGAACTACTCACTCGTGAACCAGCAGACTCCAGAAGAATCTTCTCCGATTTTATCAATATTAAGAAAAAGTAGTTTGTAAGTACATTTTGTTTCTTTTTTTTTATTTATTCATTTAATTATTCATACAGAAACTGATCCACTAATAAATAATGTTGTAAATGCTGAATAGAGGAAATTCAATGCTGGAGGGTGATAACGGACTTATATTTATTTATATTTATTCATTTATTTATCAGTATACACACATAGATGTGTCATGGGTATTATCACTGATACTAATATTAGTACTATTATTAATGTGATTAATATCATCATTATTGTTATCACCATACTCATTATTATCAATTTTATCGTTATCATTAGCATCAACATTCTTATTATTATCATTATTGTTACCATTATCATTATTGTTATCATTATTACTATTATTGCTTTATTGTTGTTAGAATAATAATAATAATTATTATTATCATCATCATTACTATTATTATCCATATCATCTTTAGATGGCGCAGAAGGCGACGCTGCTGGGGACCTGCCTGCAGGAGACGCTGACGAGCGAACAGGGACGCCTTGGACGGTTCTGACTGAGAAGGAGGAGGGCATGATTAGATAGACAGACTTTCTTTATCTTTAATAAGTGAGAGGATTAATTCACATTATGCCCTTCATATTATGTCTGTTTGGTGAATTCTCAGTTATTTCGTTTTTTTCTTTTCTTTTCTTTCTTTCTTTTTTGTAAATTTCGTACTCTTGCTTAACGAGAGTACAATGACAACGCAGCATTCAGGCTTTTCCTTCAGCAGGTTAGATAGATATAGCTTTGGCCACGATCCTGAAAGCTAATTCCGGTACCACATGAATTACTCTAACCTGCTCTTAGTACCGAACCCTATGTATACTTATGCGCCGAAACACGAGATCTCTCTCACTCGCTCGTACGGCCATCCAGGGACAGCCTCGCCCTACCGAATGAGTGTGTTCCTGGCAATAAAGCAGCTAAACAGACACTGAGCTTTGCTCTGGACCCGCCAGATAATAAACTGGCTTTCTTGTCCCTCCACTCAGAGGCCGTCGGGATGGCAGGGGCCCTCCCGGGATCCCGGCCATAAATGGGCTTTTTTTTTTTTTTTATTTATTCATTTAATTATTCATACAGAAACTGATCCACTAATAAATAATGTTGTAAAT